CCATGAAGAGCGAAGTTACCGAAGAAGGTCGCGCCTGATGAAGCTCGCGGCCCGCCCGCGATTGACATACCATTGCGATCGTGCGATCGGCTTAATTAAATCTACCGGCCCGTACATTCGTATTTTCTAACATGAATCGAAATCGTACAACAGAATTTCGCACAGATGAGTGATCTCTCGAATTTCAGAATTTTTTCTTAGCGTACAAACGTGTAATTTTTTTTTTTCCATACGAGAAAAAGAAGACTAGTTTTATCATAAAGATATCCCCACTTGATGTAGTTCTTGTTCTTGGTCGATCTTCAAAAATAAATTTACTACGAATGCTGTATCTAATTATTCTTAATTTTATCAAATAATTGCTAATTGAACGCTAGAAATTTATTGCTTCATCTTCAGAGGATTAAGGAAGATGATAGATTTGCAAATTTAACATAACTTGAATATCAGATCTAACATTATTATCTATTATATCATCAAAATATAGAAGTGACGGACTGATGAAGTCATCAGATGAAAGAATTGAAAGGGTTAAAAGTACGCGTGGCAGCCGCCTTCTCGCATCTCACGAGAGAAAAGCTGCGTCGCGCCCAACAAAAAAAAACCACGATGTTTCCCACGTGATCCGTCGAAGCAAGGGAGGCCGGGTTCACCCTTCTGCAGATTACGAGTGCTCATTGTTTCACGAAACAATAATGACCCGTTGCTCGTAATAATAATCTGCGCGACAAGTGTGCGAAAACTCGGCAAGCGGAAATTGCAAGGAATCAGAAAGAAGAGAAATAAAAAAGAGAAATAATAAACCACCGAAAAAGTGAAGAAATATATCAGTCAATACATTTAAGAGCTTTCGTAATAAAATGCTACTAAGGTTTTTAGAATATATTAATAGAATATATTAATAGAATATATTAAAATGCTACTAAGGTTTTAAGAATATATTACTAGAATATATTACAAGAATATATTTATATTACAAAAATAATTTTTTATTCTAGTTTTTGAAATGGAATTAAATATTTTGTGAAATGGAATTAAATGTTTGAGTATTAAGAAACAAATCGGATTTTTTAAATTTGTATAGAATATAGTCAATTTCATAAATAACAGATTATAAAGTTCATAAGAAAAATATATATATTATAATTAATTACAAAAAAAGCATATAATGCATATTCTATTACATATAAAAAATATATATAATTGTAATTGACTATATTTCAATAAAAAGTAAGAAATGTAAATATCTTGAAATATCTTGAAAATAAAAGATATATATAAAATATATATATATATATATATATATACATGTGTGTGTGTATGTATGAAGATGTATACGTGCTGAG